GATCCCAAAAGCTTTGTTCGCTCTTCCGTCATTGGAAGCACTAATGTTATCATCAAATGAACTTTGTGGAGCTCTAGAAGACATTCCAGACCCATTATCTTCTTTCATGTACTCCATCGACCTAAGCAACAATAGCCTTGCAGGTCATATATCCAAATCTTTCTTTGATCTTACGAGACTTCAAGATCTCAGGCTTGACTCGAATCACTTCCAAGGCACAGTAGAACTTAGCCTTCTTTGGAAGCTGAAGTCACTGCAATCATTGTGGCTCTCCAACAATATGCTATCAGTGATAGATGTCGAGGATGGCTATCCCTTTCCTTAGCCCCATAACATCAGAGGACTAGGACTAGCATCTTGCGACCTTACAAAATTTCCAGTTGCATTGAGGTATACAAATGAGATGAGTTACTTGGACCTCTCAAACAATCAAATAGATGGAGTCATACCAAGTTGGATATGGGTAAATTGGAAAGATAGTATATCCGTTCTGTACCTCTCACACAATATGTTCACTAGCCTTGAAAACTCTCCATCTGTTGTTCATATGAACAATTTAAAGTTTCTCGATTTTAGTTCCAACAAACTGCATGGCAGTGTACCTATACCGCTCACGACTGGGTCCCAGCTTTTCTTAGATTACTCAAACAATAGCTTCTCTTCCATTATACCCGACTTTGGTAGGTACCTTCCCAGCGGGACCAACTACCTTGATTTGTCCAGGAATAACTTAAGTGGTCACATACCAAGGTCTCTTTGTACCCAACAATATCTCGAGATACTGGACTTATCATACAAGAATTTCAGCGGTGTGGTACCATCCTGTCTAATGCAAGGTAGCATGATCTGGTTGACTACGTTGAAGTTAAGGGAGAATCATTTCCATGGGATGCTGCCTGAAAATATTGGAGAAGGATGTGCGCTTCAGACAATAGATTTGAACAACAACCGAATTGAAGGGAAAATACCCAGATCGCTATCAAATTGCCAACAGCTAGAGCTCCTTGATGTTGGTAACAATCAAATTGTTGGTTCTTTTCCATCTTGGTTGGGGGTTCTTCCACAACTTCGAGTTCTTGTCTTAAGATCCAACCAACTCAACGGAACCATAAGGGATATTAAAGGTGACCATACAGTCAGAAACTATACAGTCAGAAACTACTTTGGAAGTTTGCAAATACTTGATTTAGCCTCCAACAACTTCTATGGAAACCTACCAAAAGGATGGTTTAATGAACTGAAAGCAATGATGGAAAACGTCAGTGATGAGGGACAAGTTCTGGGGCATGAGACAAATTCAAGGGAAGGATTTTACCGAGATACTGTTACCATCACATTCAAAGGGTTTGGTCTCAGTTTCACCAAAATCCTAAGCACTTTCAAAGTAATAGATTTCTCAAATAACTCATTTGGTGGTCATGTTCCAGAGTCAATTGGGAGGCTTGTTTCCCTACGTGGGCTTAACATGTCATACAACAACTTCACAGGACAAATTCCATTTCAGTACAGAAACTTGTCTCAGCTGGAATCGATGGATCTCTCTTGGAACCAGATAACAGGGGGAATACCACATGAGTTAACCTCACTTACTTCTCTTGAATGGTTGAATCTTTCATACAACAACTTGTATGGAAGAATCCCGCAAGGCAACCAGTTCTCAACATTTTCAGACAGTTCATTTGAAGGTAATGCAGGCCTCTGTGGAGTTCCACTCTCCAAACACTGTGACAATCAAAGTTCAATTTCTCCAACTGGAGTGGCTCTTCCGGAATCTGAGGGTTTGTGGCAGGACAAACTCGGTGTTATCCTTTTGTTCACATTTGTTGGCTTGGGATTTGGAGTCGGCTTTGCATTGTCATTCTTGTTGCGACTGTATTGCCGCATGGAAGGATGGATCTGCAAGCAAGCATGAATCCATATGTAATAATAGAGCACTTTTACTATGTACTGTATTCAGTTTTCTTCCTGAAAAAACATATGCCGTGTGCATATGGGTTGTACATTTTTTGAGGATGCATATGGGTTGTACTTGTTAGATGAGACAGCTTAAATAAGCCACTTTTCTGTGGCAGAAGTTAATTAGCTGCTTCCTTTCGTTGCATTGGATTGCCAACAGTGATCAACCTTATGGTATATACAATTATTACACATAATATGCAGTGTGTTAATTCTTTTCCTGGAAATAAGATATGCCGAATGTTTATGTGCTACACACTTGTCAGATAGGAGTATATAATCAATCCATTTTCTTTGGAGATACTATTTTATCTGGTTTGTTTCACACACGATGCTCAAATATGTCAGTTAGTGCCATCAACAAAACAAATGAAACGGCCCGTTTGTTTTAGCGACTTGAACTCTGACTGAGGTTTTCTCTACCTGAAGAGTACCCGGGCTAAAACAGAAACACACTTAGCATCGGAAATACAGCTAACAAGCTGACTGCAGCAATCTGAACCAAAATTATCGGTAGAACGAGCATTCATATTGAAATTCCACAAGCCAAAAAGGTTCATATATGAAAATGGTTCAGAACTAAAAGCAACATGAAACCAAATGCAGATTAATGATATTGTATTGTCAAGGTTATACCCCTGTAATATATATTTTCATCAGAGACGAACATGAATATCTATTCGCGACTTAATAACAGCATGATTACATGTGTACATTATAATTAGTAAGATTTTTTTTTCTTCACCAACTTTATCCCCTCAACTCATGCATCACTAATACACGCTATATTTTGGGAGTATGACGAAAGAGTTTTATTTTTTGGGTGCTCAACAGCCCATGCTCTATGATGAGACAAGTACCGCTGTTAATACATAATCCTATTAGTTACTACCAATAATCCTGGCACAAACAGGTGCCATTTTTATACAAATGGAAACGTGTTCGATCTCTAACAATAATTTCTCTAATACCATATATGTACATTGTAATTAGCAAGATTTTGTTTTTGTTCACCAACTTTAACGCCTCAACTCATGCATCGCTGATGTATCATGAAACAGATTTTTTTTTGTGCTAAACAGCCCATGCTCTATATTGAGACCAAGTACCACTGTTAATAGACAAATTTGTCAGTTACTACCAATAGTCCTTGCACGAACAGGTACCATCTTTGAACAAATGGAAACGTGTTCGATCTCTAACAACAATTTCTCTCCCATATACTTTGGATATAAGTTTGGTGACATGATGGCAATCTTGGCAGACTCTGAGGTTCTTGACAATCCGAATGGGTATATTATCATTTGTACTTATCAAAGCAAATGCGATTGCCAGCTTCTCACTGTGGCGGCTGAGTGCACCTTCCATCTCTTCTTCTTCAATGTCAAGCAAAACCTCTTTCTTATCAGGCACGTAACCTTCCTCCAGCCTTATCCTACTATCTATCTCATACCACTTTGTCAAAATATCTTTTATGCGAGGATGAGACAGATCTCCAACAATGAATTGGTGGATAACTCCGTTAATCTCCAAATTGCTACATCCAGGTGTCTTCTCAACTCCCTTCTCACGCATTAGGTGCCTAATTTCCCTCGCAGACGCATGCCTACCAGAAGCAGAATATATGTTACCTAAAAGTACATAAGCACCACTTTTGTCTGGCTCCAGTTCAATCCAGTGCTTTATAACATACTCAGCCAACTCCACATTCTTGTGAAACCTACAACCAGCCATTAGAGCTCCCCAGATTAAGGCATCCGGTTTCATGGGCATTTTCTCAACCATGTCTCTGGCCTCACTCAGCAGGCCATTCCGTGCCAGGAGGTCTACCATGCATCCATAATGCTCAATCTTTGGTTTAATACCATAGTTGTTCACCATGGAATTGAAAAGCTGCCGACCCTTGTCAACCAACCCAGTGTGTGTGCAAGCACAGAGAGCACCAATGAAGGCAATGTCATCCGGCTTAACACCTGAGCTCTCCATCTGGGAGAAGAGCATCAATGAGTCTGAGCCTCGGCCGTGCATAGCCAGGCCCTTTATCATGGTAGTCCAGGCCAGCACATTCTTGTCCTTCATTCCCTCAAACACCTCCATTCCAAGCTGCATCTCACCACATTTGGCATACATATCAACCAACGCAGTGCCCAGGAACACGGTCATCCTGATATTGTTTGCTCTGAGGTAACCATGCACCCACTTCCCCTGCTCCAGAGCCCCCAGCTGCGCGCACGCAGCAAGCACCCCGACGAGAACCGTGTCGTCCGGGCGGACACCTTGGGCCTGCATCTGGGAGAACACCCCCAGCGCCTCCCTCCCGTCCCCAGCCTGCACGTACCCATTCACCATGGCGCTCCAGGACACGGCATTCCTCTCGGGCATTTCGTCGAACAGCGAGCGGGCGTCGGCGACACGGCCAGCCCTCGCGTGCGCCGTGATGAGCGTGTTGAACGTGGAGGCGTCGACGGCGGCCGCGGCGCGCAGCAGCAGGTGCGCGTCGGAGAGGCGGCCGAGCAGGCCCGCGTGGACGCGGATGAGCGCGTTGTTCACGAGGAGGAACCCGGTGAGGCCGAGCCTGACGGCTTGGGCGTGGACGGCGAGCGCGAGGCGGCGCGCGCCGGGGACGGCGGGGGAGAGGGCGAGCGACTTGAAGAGGGAGGGGAGGGTGTGCGGGGTGGGCAGGAGGCCCGCGCGGATGAGGTGGGCGTAGAGCGGCAGCGCGGCGTGCGGCGTCCCGGAGCTGGCGAGCGCCCGGATGAGCGCGTCGTGGAGCTCCGCGCTGCGCCGGAGCAGGCCCGACGTGACCAGGGCCGCCTGGATCCGCGCGATCGGCCGCGCGTCGGCGCCGCCGCGGCACCGCGACAGCAGCTCCAGGTAGCGCTGGACGACCACCATCTCATCACGTAGTGGTGGTGTGTTTTTCCTCTAATAAAATGGCTCACTCACAGTCACAGGCAGCGCCACGCAATACGAAACAGTACATAGAGGGGAGCGAGATGGTTTGACCTGCTGTTCGACAATGGGCTCCTGAAGGCGGATCTTGAGGACGGAGACGAGGCGACGGCCGCCGCGGGTTGATGACCGCGAAGAGGGGGAGGGTGAACCAAGGGTTGGCCGCGGCGCCGGCCCCGGGGGCTTTCCTCCGACGCGAAGGCGCCGACGAGTGTATATGTTGTAGGGGTGACCTTTTTTACTGTGGCCCAAACAAAAAATCCCGTTTCGAAGAACTTTTTTTCAACAAAGGGTAATATATTATTATGAAGATGATATCAAGTACACCCGGCCTCAGCAGCAACTCAATGCCACGAGCAATTCGAGGCATTAAGGATGCACACAACCAAGAAGAAGAAGATGATGATGATGATGATGATGAAGAAGAAGAAGAAGAAGAAGAAGAAGAAGAAGAAGAAGAAAAAACCAAGATCTAAGGCACGCAGTAAGCAACAATGGCATCATGCACTACCGTGACAACAATGGGCTGCAAGTAGGTTCTCCAAAAGCAATATATTCACGAAGATAAGGACAGACAAGTGTCACTGTCGCCAGATTCAGTCAAAGACTAAATCCTGAGTTTTCACTATGAGAGAAGAACTGAACAAAATCATGCAATGCCTTCAACAAAGTAACGATGTCGAAACACCACCATTGCCAGATATGACCAGCAAAGGACACAACATGGGTTTCACCCAGAAACTCCAGTCACGGTACTGAAGTAGCACCACCAAACGCAGGCACGAACTGTTGTTGCAACCGCTGGACCACCCCCTTCATTCCTTCAATCATTGACAATGCCGAACACAGACAAACGCCCACACGCGTCGTGTTCCAGACCACTCAGCAACAAATATGCATAATCCTCGTGCACAAGGACCATGGAACATGACATCTGAGAACGTCTACAGCCTGAATGTTTGGCATTCGAACCATTGTCTAGTGCTCACACACACAGTTCTGATGGGAAAAGTTGTGCTCCTATGAGCTTGTTAACGGGCGACGACGCAACTGCCAGGAACCGCCGGAACCCACGATAAGGGCACTTTCGGCAGACCCATGCCATCCTCGCCATCGGTTGATGATGCACTTGGGAAGGATTCCTTCAGTTGTCCAGCTATAGCCGTCATCGTCCATGTCCCTAATCTGCAAATTGGAATCAGATCGGAGCACAGTCGTACCGCAAGTGACCGCCGCCGTCGTGGATGGCATCTCCGTCTTCAAATCTTGATCCAACGCCGCACATGTCGCCACAACCACCACCGCCCAGATCCAAAGGCGACCGTCGTGCTGCCCTCGCAGCCGCCCCAGCCATGCCACCACCAAAAGGTTCCGAGGCGGCCGCCCTGCTTCTGAGCTCCGCCGAGCGCAACACCGTCTAGGGCCGGACCCCGTGCAAGGCTAGAGGTCCCCTCGGTGGGAGAGGACGAGAGTCCGCCTTCGCCGTCCATCGAACGGGCTTTACCCGTTGGTTTCCTCCGACGGTGGCGGGGTGGATGGAGGAGAGGGGAGATGTGGGCGGCGGCTAGGGTTTCACCCGTGCCGCCCCTAGGAGCGGAGTGGGTGCGACCACAAGGTATGCTTACTTGGAACTTGAAAGTAAAACTAACATTAGGAGGATTTCAGAAATGGATTTTTTTTGCGAATATTCAAAAATGCAGGATAGTAAAAACAATAGAATTGTGATGTCATGACTATTTAAATCCTACATGATTTTAGTTTTTTTGATATCAACACAAAAAAAGAAACAAATGATATTTTTAAGAAGTCAAAGAGGGGTAGTTATCCCCACCTAAATTTCATTTATTATTTATCTACAACAAGGCTTTGTAGCCTATTACAAAATAGGGTTCAAGCGCCACTAGAGGGCGGGAGGAGAAGATGGCCCCGACGCCGCCCAGGCCGACCGGGCTTTGCCTGTCAGCATGTGCCGGCGGCGGCGAGGAGATGCGGAGGAGGAGGGAGGGGGGCTAGATGCGGCAGATCCGTGGCTGCCCCCGACTGCCCGCGGGGGCTGTGCAAGGAGAGGGAGAGAGGGGAAAGTGATATCGCAACTTGGAGAAACATCCCTCCTTGCAACCGATCAGTGCCAATAACCCGTTTGAACACCCCATGCGTTTGCGTATAAGTATAAGGTGTTATTTGTCGTAACAAATCACAAGTCACATACGATGTATACATCGTGAATTATAATGATATTTTGATCAATATCTAAGTGTCTAAGTTTGTTGTTCCACAACAACACATGAACATTCGACTAGTCTTTATATTGCTGGTTAAATCTGGTCCTTTGTAGCATCAACTCAATCCTCACCTCACCCCATACCGGCGGCAGACACGTATGGTGTGTAGCCTAGTTAAAGAAAGAAAATGTGATTATCACGCACGCAACCCACACCAATCATTATCCGATCATGTCTAATGATTTTGTACCAACGTAACCTCCCCATTGTTCTGAGACCGACAATCTCCGAGAAAATGTGATCGCCATTAACGCAATCCTAAATCTTTGCTGCCGATCGAACGCCACACACACCAATCATTATCCGATAGTGTGCAATGATTTTGTACCAACGTAATCTCCATCCATTGTTCCAAGACCGACAATCTCGGAGACAAACTGGCCCTCACGTAGCCTAATGCCGGCCGGCCACCTACATGGCCGCACGTCTACACCATTTTAATACTCTCCCCTGACCCCTCACCTGGTCACCTTGCCGCGTCTATATATGAACCTGACGCCTCCCGCCATTTCCACACAACCAAAGCCAGCCGCAGTTATCTCCATCGATCTAGCACGCACGTACGGAGTTAGTACCAGTCTCCCCTTCCAGCAATGGCGGCCTACCTCCCCCTCGCCGTCCTCGTGGCCCTCCTCGCCGCCACCGGAGCCAGCGCCCACGGCTACAGCCAGACCCCCTCGCCGACGCCCGCCACGCCGGCACCGGCTGCCAAGTGCGACAAGGTGATGCTCAAGGTGGAGGGCGTGGTGTACTGCCAGAGCTGCACGCACCGGAACTCCTGGTGCCTGGACGGCGCGACGCCGCTGCCGGGGGCGAAGGTGACGGTCACCTGCCGCGACGCCAAGAACCGCGTCATGGAGTCGCGGACGCCCGTCGCCGACGGCAATGGCTACTTCCTCGCCGACTTCAACGTCACCGAGAAGGCCGACTACTACATGGGGGACCCCGCCAAGGCCTGCTTCGTGCGCCTGCTCGCGTCGCCGGACCGCAAGTGCGACGACCTCACCAACGTCAACTACGGCATCGAGGGCGCGCCACTCCGCCACGAGGGCAAGCGGTGGTCCGGCCAGGGGTACGAGAATGTCGTGTACGCCGCCGGCCCGCTCTCCTTCAAGCCGGACACCTGTGCGCCCAGGGGCCACTACTGATTCGTCCGTTGATTTGAACTGCACGTACGCGCGCGCGTGCGTGCGCAAGGCAGATGCGCCTGCGCTGCTTCTTTGGATTTGAGAAATTTGTGGAGCTTCAAAGCTTTATTCATGTGTTTTTTCTTTTACTTCTGTTCTATTTATTGATAGAATATTTTTTTGTTACTATGTAATCTTGTGGGCAAGTCTTATTCAGACCTCTTCCTTGGACAAGTCAAGTATATTTTTTTCCACTTCAAACGCATTATACACACGGGTAGCGCATTCTCAATAAGAGGTAGTGCATTTTGATTCGTCTTGAGAACTAGTGGTTGCGGCCTGCTTGAGAGAAAGTTGTGTCATGTTTCTTCATATTAAAGAAAAAAAGTCCTTCAACTTCCTCTGAAAATAAAAATAAAATTTTCTCGCATCACATGAGCACCACATCCATCTCAAAAAGAAAAGAAAAAGGCAAAAAAAAACTTTTCTCAAAAAAAGAAAAAATGTCACACTTCCATTTTCTAAAAATAATCTACCAAAAAGTCAAAAAACTTTCTTACCGTGGCCAACCAGCATGCGCCACATGGCATAGCTAGTTGGCCTCCCTTTCAGTGCGATTAATGGGTTTAATATTCCCCAAATACAATATATTTATACTTCGAGTAAAATTTACTTTGGATTTGCTAATTCTCCATCAATTAAGAATTAGTTAAAATCTCAATAACTGCTATGACCGTCAGATTAGATGAAGATTCATACATATTTGTCCTTTCTGTTTTTCTGTCTCTTTGTGCACATTTACATTTTTTGTTATTTTCTGCATGTAACTAAAGTTGCACGCATGTGTGGCCTTGCACAATTACAGTTCTTACGTACATAAAATAGTTCCCTCTAAAAAGTTGTTTCCACACAAAAGGGCATAAAACAAAATTAGGTGTACATGTAAAGCAATGTTTGTGTAGTTAAATTGTACTATATAAACTGAACTTGAGTATCTTTTTCATACGTTTCATACTAATTAACATGAGAGTTTAACATGATAAGTGGTTGCCATAGTAAGTAATTTATTAAAATCTTTATTGTCGTAATTGAAGTATCTTACTTCTTGGTTATATCACTTAGCCCTTTGTTTTATGGTCATACAATTTTACAAAACCTTACTCTAACCAACTGTTGCCCGCTAGTAATGCCAATCGCTTTATATGTCAACATTCCACATGGCAATGGCTCAACAAAAGTGGAGCTTGATTATAACTCTATGAGGTGAGGACCAACAAAGGCGAGGGCACATTTCGTAACGATGTGGTTTTGTGACATCAGATGATCATAACACCTAGAGTTAAGTATCACTAAAAAGAAAAACGTGGCTTTCTACCACTAATTCACCATTTACTGAATACATGTGCCAATCCAATTACTTCAGGCAATTTAAAACAATTAAATTCCTTCATTAGCAATACTATAAATTAAAATGGATAAAAGGTGCATTAACATAAATATTTGTAGCTAGAAGAAAAGCAGATTTTTTTTCATATTATGTCATATTCTTCTACATAGTACAAGAATATTTTTGAATATTGGATGATGTCGATCTAATGCTAAAGATGTGGAAAATCCGAGCACTGTTGACCGTTGGATATCTTCTTCAATGCACATGATTCTACCACGTGTACTATCCAAGAGACTACATTATTGGGCTTAAGCACGTCCTACATAACTAAATATGTGATATTTCTCAACCTGTAAGCATGTAAGCTCAGTATGCCATGCACAGAAAAATCAACCTTAACATGCATCCATGCATGGTAAAATATTTTTCATTCCACTATGCCATTTAAATTCAATATTTTTTTGCAATTATACAATGCAGAAATTTATGTATTTTCAGTTTTAGTGTTCATGATATTAATTCAAATACTCATCTTCCATACAAACAAATCTCCTTGAAATATATTCCAATTAACTTTTGCAATAACACGTGATGTATTATCTAATTCCTTCTATTTCTGATATATGAATATCCCGGATTCTACATTTGAGGGCTCTTTGGTTCAAGTGATGCTCATAGGAATTTTAGAAGATTGGAAACCTTAGAAATTTTCCCTAGGTTGGTCATTGGTTCATAGGATATAATCATAGGAACATGAAATTCGTAGGAATGAGATGTCATGCATATCAATTTTTATAGGAAGAGATGTCATTTGGTTCATAGGATGTTTTTCCATAGGGAGGAGCATGAGGTTGTGGGAGATAAGGATGAACGAGGCAAGGCCTTATCTGTAAATGTGGAGAGAGGTGCGGGTATCTTTTGTAAAATTGTCATAGTTGGCTTTCTATCCGTCAGATATAGATCGGACGATCTATATTACAAGATGGCAGGCATACCATCATCACCAACTCGGTTTTCTATAAGAGTATAAATAAATATAAATATAGATATAGATATAGATAGATAGAGACTAGGGAGTACTAGTAAGGACACCATCTACTGCTTCGTGCACTACTCTTGCGCTCCATTCGGCGGCCGTAACGTCCCCTACAGCCACTCCCTCCTGCCCTACATTCGGCGGGCGCTGTTGAAATTTGGGGAGTGCACTCTCGCGACTGCTGGCAGCCACGACTTCACCGACAACGACTTCTTCCCCTACCTCGACAACCTCTTCCTCAACGACATGGGCGACAACCTCAACGCCAACAGTGCTGCCCCCATTGCACCGTATGTGTTTCTGTCCTTCATGTTCGAAATCATGGTAGAATTCATGTTTCTACTCTGTATCCTACTACTATGCTAGTCCACATGATTAGTTTCATCTCTGTTATAGCCGTCATGATTTATTTTGTGCTTATTCGGATTAAATCTCGTAGTAACTTGCTCATATATTCAACTGGCGCAACGTCCCCTACAGCCACTCCCGTTTCATGGACGGCCTGGTCGATGCCTCCAAGGAGCTCTCCGTCCACTGCTATGAGTGCCCGATGCCGTTTTGTGGCTCGCCGGCGGACATGGTGCATCACCTCACGTATGCGTGCACCGGTCACTGTTGGCCCTTGGCGGAGAACATCAAGTACCCGTTCACCATGCCGGAGTCGCTGGAGGATCACCGCCGCCTGCTAGTCTCGGAGGAGGACGACAACGTCTTCCTCTTGATTGTGGGCACCGGCGAGGCCTGCGCAGGCCGCCGCCCCGTCTTTGTAATGTGCGTCAGGGGCGACGCCAATGACGCTGACACTGACACGAGGCCGATGTACGGGTGCGTGGTCAGTGTTACTACCCCTCCGGGTCGCGTGGGCGGCGACACCGGCCTCATCGAACGGACTTGGACTCTGGGGAGCTGGGACTATCCCGCCAATGTGGACTTGGAAAACCCATGGCATCTTTTATCCGCCGATGCGGTGCACGGGGACTCCAAGGAGGTTCACCTGGACATACGCATTATCAAGTTAAATGTTGATCATTAGTCTTCGCTCAATGTAATCCGCTGTCTAAGCATGTGGAGACTTCCATGCAGGATCTTGCTCTATTGGAGTATCGCGCATGAATAAAAGTGTATCCGTTTATGGTTTAGTCTAGAATCTTCCATGTATGAATTTTTACTACAGTACTGATGAAAGACTTACGATGAACCATTTCTTACATCTCATCCGCCCCCTTGCAAGTCATCCTGATTTAATCCCTCCGTCTAGGTGTATAAGCTCATGGTCAATATAACTTAATAGTATAGCCAACTGTTGACTATAAGAAAGTGCCATGTCATCTGTAGCCAACATGTATAACAATCGATACTCAAAAACTAATTCTTAAAGATCATTTCTTGCAAAGCACAATAAGTGTTATTTCTTCACAAGTTTTGGATGCAGGTTGAACAGTTGAACGCTTTTCTTTGCAAAAGATACCTTTTTATCGATTTCACCCGGATGTTTGTGAGCTCTAGAGATGAAATAATATCCGAAGAAACCTATTGATACCCGTTACACATGAGATGACCCCCACATCCTTTGTCAAAATAAACAACTCCCCGATTAATGCATTTCACTCTTCGGTGCAACGCACGGGCACCTTACTACTATAGATTAGTACGACCAAAAATTGAACTAACATTATACATTATATAGTATGATAAATGCTGATGCATGTCACCTAAAATTATATCATTCAAAACTATCACTACAAAAAAAAAGACACATCCGTGACATTTTGGGCCGAACGAAATTTTTTTCTGTCATACATATGACACTTCTATGACGATAATTGTGACAGAACCCGGTATCATCATAGATGTGGTGGGCTCCTACTTCTATGACAAAAAATCATGACAGAAAATGGGCTTTTCGTCCTGGGCGGGCCAGAGACGCAGCTGCATGACATTCTTTGGGCCGTCCATGACGGAAAAAAACTGTGGTAGAAGCTAGGGGTAGGAAAATTTTGGGGAGTTGCCGGTTACGGTGGGAGGTCGGGGGCCGAGCGATGCGCGTTTCTCTCGTACATGTACGCGTGTGTGTGCGAGGCGTTGGGCTCTAACTGAACCCGAGCGATTGCACTGCAGGCTACGCGTTACTGAATCCGAGCGATCGATCGATGGCTGTTAACTAAACTCGATGGAGCGATTCCTTCGCTACTGCTGCTAACTAAAGCCGATCGATTGGATGAACAGTGAGCGGTGGCGTTGCCTCTGGATGAACAGGACCCCGTGGTGTGGAGGGCTGGATGAACAGTAGACGGTGGAGGGCTGGATGAACAGTAGACGGTGGAGGGGTGGTTGAACAGTAGCCGGTGGAGTAGCGCGTGGTGGAGGTTGGATGAACAAGAGCCCGTGGAGGCTGGAGGAGGTGTTTGGCGAGACCGAGGACGAGGCAGAGGACAATGCCGGCTCCGACGAGTCCCCGCTCTGCTGGCGTCGATGACGCCCTGCTCAGCCGAGGCCCCGCGGCGCCAACAACGAGGCAAAGGACACCGCCGGCTCCGCCGAGGCCCCGCCCCGCCAACAACGAGGCAGAGGACATCGCCGGCTCAGCCGAGGCCC